TACTTTTTTCTGGGAAATCTATTGCATCAAAGATATATTGGTTTACCATAACTAAAGCCTTCCAACCCTTCTTATCACTTCCACTCTGGCATCTCAGACATAATGGAGTGATGAGTGGTCAATGATAAGGAAAGGAGCAATAGGGAGGGATAAAAGGGAAAACAGACATGACAGGTGTTGTAAAACATTAGGCTAATTGCCCAAATTCAGTAAGAGGAGTTTCAAATATTCTTCTAGCACTGAATTACTTGGACACTAGTCTATTTGTGTATCAAATGCATGATTTAGATTCAGTTTCCTTACAAGCATCCCTACCCCAAAATCTAAAATGCTTCAAACACTCAAAGCTCTCGAGTGCCAACAGGGCACCACAGATCTTAACACAATGAGTTAGTCAAAAATCATGAGTTAGTCAACAATCAAAAATCAGGTGCACTAAAACATTGTATAGATTATGTGCACACATTGTGTATGAACCGTAAATCAACTTCAGCTTCAGACTTGAAGCTAAGTCTCTAAGATATCTCAATAAGGATATGAAAATATTTCCAAATGCAAACAGATTCCCAAATCTGAAACAGTCGTGAGCTCTAGCATTTCAGATAAAGGCTACAAAAACCCGTACGGCTAAGACTTCACTGTTTGAAGTATTGCACTACTCTCTGTGGAGTAATAGCTCATTTTCTTTTGCCTGAAGCTCCTAGTTTAAAAATAATAAGAAGAAGTAATCACTAGTTTATGTGCCCCAAATGTCCTTGATTATGAGCAGCATTTCTAGTCGCAGCCTGGGAAGACCACAAGCCCTAACAACGCCTTCCCACTGGCATCTCCTGCATCCAAAAGGGAAAACGGGCTGGAACACAAACTCCTAAGCTCTACCACAGGCTGCAAAAATGAGGCCTGCACATGTCTAAATTGTCGAACAGCCGGGCTGACTTTTGACCTGACTTAACAGTATTTGAGGCCGCTTACTGACACTGTCAATAACATCACACATAATGGAACACATATCTTGTAACTGAACCACAGATACTGCTGAACAACATAAAGAATCCAGGAAATACATACTTAAAATGTAAACTGTTCAAACAGAATAACTACCGAAGGGTCTGGTAATACATACACAAATTGCTTCTCTGAGGTCCAGGAGTCATGCATTACTATTCATCAGTAGCTGCTGCCTTGATCTTGCCTTAAAAAGCTTCAATGATTTCTCAAGGCATCACTTTTAACAAATGACCACATTGATTTTTTTTTTCTCCATAAAGACTTAGCCTAACATTACCGAATATGTCTAGGAAACAGAAATAAAAACTTAGCCTAATATCACTGATTATGTTTAGGAAATGGAAATAAACCATGCCTTCCAGAGGTTGTACAAAAGAGAAAAACGGCCTTTTAGAATCAGAAGGTACCACTCTGATCTGAAGCTTGTACTGCCCTTTTCAATCCTAGCAGAGAAACAATTAATAAAGGAGCCCATTAAGACCTGATTATTGCTGCTAAGAAAAGGAAGGTAGAATTTCAGCCCTTTGAAGTAATTGAGAATGATTCAGGCCTCATTACAGAGATATAATCTACATTCATACATTTATGTTAGTGATTCAAATCTATTGGGAGAGATTGAATTCCGTTAAATAGTGCATCTTTCCTGCGGAACTTTTCTCAGGCTTTCTCAGGCTAACCTAAGAGGTGACCTAACAATGCAAAGTAGTGAGGTATTTAGGGATTCAACTGTGCTATAAAAGAAAGGCTGCACAGAAAAGGAAAAAAAAAAAGGAATGAGATATAATCTAAAAAGCGATGTCAGCTTTTCCTTTGGACTGTTTTATAAATGCCCTTCCTGTCATCATGTTATACAGAAGGAGTGGCGAAAGGAACTCTGCAACTTTCAAACCCCTACACCTGCTGCAACCAAGTTTTCATAGGAAAGTTTTAAAGAGATCTTTCCCCGATTATGGACAGAAACAAAATTAGGAATTTCTAGCTAAAAATCTGAATAGCTGCTTCTACTGGAACAGCAAGTTGCTACGTGTGTGTGTGTGTGTGTGTGTGTGTGTGTGTGACAGAGAGAGAGACACAGTGAGAGAGACCAACATTGGGTTGGAGGAGTGTCTGGTGTGGGTTAAAAAATTGTTTTAAATCCCAAGCTGGCATCAACAGTGTTGGCTCCCAGTGTAGAAAAACCCCAGAATAATAACTTCCTGTATTTCATAATTTTTCACAGCAGAATCTTTATTTTATGGTTCCATCAAACATATTCTTTTTTTAAAAAGCATGTAGTTTTAATTAGTTTTCAATTTGGACATTTGAATTCTTTTAAACTGTTGGGCCGAAACGCTAATCCCGCAGAAACAGTCCCTTCTTTTTGGTATTTGTCTGCTCAGGTATAAAACTGTGAACCAGGAAATTGAAATTAGCACTGTGGAGTCATTTTTCAATATCCACGTTTTAATGAAAGAGCAAGACTTGTTTGACGTATGCCCTGTATTTGCCTAACTTTCCAATTAATAGCTACAGTAATCAGAGCTAATTATATTAAACATAAAAATCTACTGTGATGTCTACCACGCTGTTGAAATCTAATGAATAAACTTTGTAATGGGTTCTAAATCGTGCAATTAAGGTCCTGATTCTAATATCAAATGGTCCTATTTCAAAGGCTTTGAATGTACTCAAAACTATTATAAGAGTAACCATATCAAGTTTTATTTTCCAGTCACTCCACCTAATGGGTAACAAGAATTCTTAAGACCCATCTCTAAAAGTAAACATTTTAACTATTTTATATTTTCTGCAGTGCACAATGAAGATTGCAGTCCAATGCACGGCCTAGCGGTTCTGCATGCCCTTCTGCTCTCCGGGCTCCCTGCAAGGAATAGCCACAGTGGTTCCGCTGTCAAGGTCACCTTGTATCTTCGTCCTACAGTGACAAGCTTGTAGCCATCTGAAATGGCTACTTTTGTAGATCAAATCGATCAAATATTGACCATTGTGGATGTTCCGAAAGAACTCAATTGTCCAACTGCCTTGTATAAACAGAAACGCTTCGTACCAACATCAGTTGAGGCATTTTTTTCCCAGTGAAATTTTCCCCAGGTCGGAGTAGCTTAAAGTGGTGGTCCTGGAGAAACTGTTTCTTACTTAGAGTGCAGCTGAGTTCTCACAGCATTCCCTTGCGCCTCCTACCCGTTGGCAGAGCCTCTAGCCCTTGGATTTATCTCTCCATCCCTGGGCTTTGAGTGAGTTTCTGTAAGCAGTGCAGTTTCTGGAGCAGTGGAGAAAGGGAGCGCTAACGGTGCAGTTATGTTGTCAAACAGGGTCCTTTAAACATCGCCTTGGAAGACAGAAACAGGCGCTTCATGGCAAAGTGCAAAGGAAATTGCACAGAAAAGAAAACAGACAGCGGGGTATTTGGTCCAATAGTAGGGGAAGAATCTTTGCGATCTCCATAAAGTGCGTTCGCTTTGAAGCGCACGCGTGATTCAGTAAAGGACTCATGTTAGCAATTAGAATTCAGTCAGTTGGGTCCCCGATTTCATTTGCGCCAAGAGAGAGGCGACTTTTAAGGGTGACGATAAATCTCCCTGAGCTTAAAAGGCTGAGAGGGCCAAAGTGTGAACTTTTTACTTCAGCAACGGAAGCGAGAAATCAGTGTTCATTAAAGCGGAGACCTCCTTGGAAGCTGACAGCAGAGAAGGGAAGGAAGCTCATTAAGTCTCCCTTTGCCGCGCTCGCTCCCACCAGTTTATAATCTGCTGTTTTGGGAGGGTCTACCCTCAGCATCTTCTGCTAGCTTCCCAACACCACCCCCTTCCCCCCCTTTTTTTTCTCTCTCTCCCTTCGGGAAACGAGAGGGTTTGGGAGAAAATAAATAAATAAATAAACAAAAGTTTGCAGGCTCCAGGTGGCTCTAAAAAAAAAAAAAAAAGGAAAAAAAAAGAAAGCTTCCCTGCCCAAAGGAAAACAAAACCCAAACCAAGCCAAGGCTGGAAAACAAGCAAACAAGCGAGGAAAGCAGCTCCCAGGAGGGAATGGGCTCGGGCTGGAAAGGGGGCATCCTTCGGGTAGCCAGAGGCCGGCGCATCGAGCCCGGGGCGCTGCCCGGGCGACTCGAGCCGGAGACGGCAGCCGAGGCTGCGGCGGCGGCGGCGGGGAAGGCCCGCGGAGCCCCCGAGCTCCGGGCGCGGGCTGCGCGCTCCGCTCCCTCCGCTCGCGCCGCGCGCCTCCGCCGGCTCCCCCGGCTCCCCCGGCTCCCGGCTCCCCCGGCTCCCCCGGCTCCCCCGGCTCGGCCCCCGCCCGCCCCCGCCCGCCCCGGGCCGGCGTTCCCAGCAGCCGAGGGTTTCAGATGTCCCACCGCCTTTTGACCCCCTCCCCCGCCCCCCTCCCCTCCGCTCGCTTCTCCACCCCCCTGCAAATGAGGTTTGACCAGCAGAGGCAGAGCCCACCTCTGGCTCACAACCACTGACATTTAGACTCTGGGCTTCAACCTGTTTACAAGCGGGCTTTCCAAAGGAAGGGGGGTGGGGGAGAGGGCCCAAACAAAACACCAGCCGCCACCCCCCTCCCACCCCACCCCCCCCAGCAAGAAGAGACTTCTCTGGAGGCTTCAAATCAACAGGCACCACCAAAAAGAGCAAGGAAGAGGGGAGAAGAAAGCCAGCCGCGACCGGGCAGCTGCCTGCAGGGCTGACATCCCCAAAGGGGGGACACGCTTTCTGAAGTGGCCAGCAGAGAGGGACCCAAAGGTGCCCACCGCGGAAGGGCGCAGAGGTCTCCCCTCCACACTCCTCCCACCCCCCTTGAGGTTTTGTTCACCGTGCTGTCATCTGTTTTTCAGACTTTTTGTTTGTTTTTGTTTTTGGCATCTAACATGGTGAAGAAGGGAGTGAAGAAGAGAACAAAGTAACTTTTGGGGGAGCGAAGAGCGCGCCGGTGACCCGCTCCGCCGGCTTGCGCTGCCGCGGCCACCCACGTCCACTCTTCGCCGGCAGACCCACGAGGCTCAGAGAGGCAGCGGATCCGCGCACGGAGCGAGCAGAGGCAGCCGGCCCCTCCGAGGAGTTATGGATGTAGGTGCATTCACTTCTGGCCAGATCCGCGCCCCGAGGGAGCTAACCAGCAGCCGCCACCTCCAGCTGTCTCCTAGCCTCGCACCGGGTCTCACCCTTCCAGTATGTTCCTTCTGATGAGACAATTTCCAGTGCCTAGAGCTTCAGTACAATGTGGAAATGGATACTGACACATTGTGCCTCAGCCTTTCCCCACCTGCCCGGACGCCGCTGTTGCTGCTGCTTCTTATTGCTGCTCTTGGTGTCTTCCGTCCCTGTCACCTGCCAAGCCCTTGGTCAAGACATGGTGTCACCAGAGGCCACCAACTCTTCTTCTTCCTCTTCCTCCTCTTCCTCCTCCTTCTCCTCTCCTTCCAGTGCCGGGAGGCATGTGCGGAGCTACAATCACCTCCAAGGAGATGTGCGCTGGAGAAAGCTCTTTTCCTTCACCAAGTACTTTCTCAAGATTGAGAAGAACGGGAAGGTCAGCGGTACCAAGAAAGAGAACTGCCCGTACAGTAAGTAACAAACGCGTGCTGCCCTCCTGCCAATTATCCACCCCCCCACCCCACGCGGGGGGAAAATCCGTTCCAGATGTGGCCAGCTAAATATTTACGTCCCCAACCCCTGTAAAATGATTAAGTGGCATACTTTCACACTAAATCACCCCTACCCCGCCCGTGTATACGTTGTGCTGCCGTGTGCCCTCCCCTAGGCGCGCTCCCCTCGCGCGCGCGCGCGCACACACACACACACACACACACACACACACACACACACACACACCTCTCCCCACCCCCTTGCCACCCTCTCCGTCCCTTCTCCCTGGCTTGTCACTCGGCGCACCGCGCAGGGCGCTGCAGAGTTGCGCAGAGCACGGATGCCCCCTCTCTGTCCCCACCGCCCTCCCCACGTCGCGTCTGAAGGTCCCCTCTCCCTCCCTTCTGGAAATGGCTCAAGTAAACACATTGTGTTTCTTTTCGTTGGCAATCTTGGGAAGACTTTTGGGACGGCCTCCCCAAGCTGAAAATGATTATCCGCTGTCAGTTATAAGGGCTTTATGGGAACTTCATTTAAGAAAGAAAAGTCATTTACACTGGCTGCCTAATTCCCGAGATAGAAGTTTTTTCCTGGTTTTGATTTTTTTTTTTTTTTGGTCCCTCTTGTTTTGAGCCATTGCAACTCATGAAATGAGCTTTTCAGGCAACACCGCTGCTATTTGTCTTCCGCTGCCTTCTTTGGGTAACATGATGCTCACGTCTGCATTGTCAATAGCATATGCGCTGCTTTGTGGTGTCCTGTTGTACTGTTTCGTCTGAAGCCTCTCATATTGCAGAACCCGTACTACTACAGCGTTGTAAACATCTGGGACTAGACTCGCACAGACCTCACACAAATTTCATTGTCATTCTGCTATTTTCAAAGTAAGAGTCATACGTCTGTTTCCATGGCTATAGTTTATAATCCCATAGGATGAGGCTTTCTCCTTGATGCAAACGACGACGACAGGGTCCCTGTATTTGTCTCTTACCTTTTCCCTTGTTCTCTTTCCCTCTTGCTTGCAAGGGTGTGGGCTGCTAAGGGGGAGGGAGACCAGGAGAGAAGGGGTGGATATTGTGTCTTTTCTTTAATCAATTCAGCAAAGCCAGATTATTCTGTTGGCTTCCTTTCCTAGCTACTTTCAAGTGGTGAGCTTATTCATTCCCTATTGATTGTTATTTGAAAGGATCTCTTAGACTACGTAGCGGCACACCGAAGACAGTAGACAATGACGTTTAAACATCTTTTAACGCCCATTTAGCATATGTCAGTGGTAAATACCCCTTCACCTTTTAAAGGGTTTTTTGTTTGTTTGTTTGTTTGTTTGTTTTTAGTGTCAGTTGTTTGGGAATTTCAATCTTCTGTTCATCAGCTAACTTAAATGGGGCGGGGGAGGAGGGCACATATTTCAAGACTGCTTAATACACAAAGTCTCAGGTACAAATGAGAGGCAACTGATCAGAATTCAGCATTTTATCTTAAAGTTTTCACAGGGAGTAACTTAGTTTTCTTCCAGCGAACTCAGATGCATTCACACTGACTTTGTTCCTTTTCAGTTATTTGATATATTTACTAAAATTAGCCGTAAATTTACAAGTCATGAAAACAGTTGTAGAAGCATTTCAAAACGTCCCATTTGGTATTTGAGTACTAGAAATACTGAAAAGCTGATTTCCTCCATTCTGACTCATAGAGACTGATTGGCCTAATGGCATCAATGACAATGGTTCTTTCTGTTGGAAAGTCATTTCTTTGCATTTGTTAGACTTGGCATATCCCTTTAATGGTTGTTGATTAAAATTATAATACTTCTGTTGACATCTAAACGCAGTAATTGTGATGTCACCCAGGAAGGAAGATCAGGAGAACTGCTGGCCCAAAAAGAGTGTGAGCTGAGAATTAAAGAATAAAATTGCCAAGAACTGAATTTCTTTGTACTTTAAGTCCATGAAGGAAACTCCAGAAAATGTGAGGGTGTTAACCTTGAAGACATGTTCTCTTATTAAAAATGTTTGACACTAACCTGATTTTGCCCATTATATCTTAAGTGTCATTGTAATGTGAAGTAAGGCACAATCTGTATCAATTTATGCAACTTACTTGACTATTTTCTAAACTAATAATCTCGGTGTGACTATTAGTAAAATGATCGCTAGGCCATACCATGAATTTAATTTTTTTTGAATTTTTTTTTTTGAATTTTATTTTATACAACAGTAGGAAATTTTCATCCTATCTGAATTTTGTTAATCTCTCTTCTGCGTTTTTAGATATACCACTAGTCCCTCTTAAAATTAGAAGCTAAATGCCTTCTTATACAGTGAAACAATCTGGAGCAGTGATTAAAAAAAAAATCAAAAAGAGGAGGAGCTTACCCTGATAAGTATTGTCAAACCATAAGTGTTTCAGGCTTCTTAGAAGTTCCCATGACAAGTAAACATTCGAGGTTGAAAAGGTTTAATTTCACTTGTGGTGCTGTCACCCAAATTCTATTACAATTTCTAGCTGTACTGATTCAGCTGAACCACATGATATCATTAAGATAGTGTCTGAATGTTGCATCATTGCATGTGAACAAACATTTGCCAGTGCCTACAGGGTAGCCAGCCAGACAGCTCACCAAATGGTAGCCTCTTCAATATTAGGATATCTAACCTCTGCAGAGTGCTAGTTCCTTGTCCAAAAACCACATTTCAGTAACATTTTCCTAAACAAGTTATTAATTATTCTCAATACCCAAAGCAGTTCTTTTGAGGTTTGTTTATTTGAACATTAATTCTCTTTGTTACCTTTGACCCAATTATTGTTGCTGGTAAAATACAGTAACAGCTTATCTAGGAGGTTCTATGTTTGTGATATTCTGGGCAATTTAACAAATGTTTTACTGGCTTTGTGCCAGCAAAATACTAACAAAAGGGAAGTAAGGAAATCACCCATAAGTATTGCAAAATTGTTTTCATTCTCTATATCTGAAGCTAGTTCCCAGAAACAAAATGATTTCAAGAATATTCCATATGCTAAATAAAGTCTTCACAACTGTGGTGATTACTATAGCTTCTTTTGTAGGGCAAAGGGATGTATTTTTCATTTGCCCTTTGCCACTATATGAGAGTAGACTAAAGAAAGCAGAGCTAAATTATGCTTCCCCTGCTAGAAGTCTGAGAAAGCTTGAATAATTTAGCATAGCTGTGGTGTGTCTGTCACTAGATATGTGCAGGCTCATTTAGGTTTTGTCTTATCATTCTTTATATCTAGAGCTTTGCCCTTGAAACATTACCAGTGGCTCTGACCTTCTGGAAAGGCTGCATACAGCTGTCAGGTACCCTTGCCACTGGGACTGGTTGACTTATTTCCGGACATGAGTGAAACAGCTGTGGGCTTCTCCCATGGTTGTCACTTATCGAAAAGAACAATATAATAAAAGGAAAAATATATCCTTCAGTTCGAGACAATGAAGGATGGATATACCAAAATAGAGTCTGAAGTGCTTCTGGGCCTGTCCGGAAAGGAGTGGCCAGTGTTGGGAGTGGGAGAGGGGCATTGTGTGAGATCTGGAAATAAAGAAATCTATGAGTACTGAAGATCCTGAATATGCAATATGTGCCTACTCTTGTCATATAGAATTATTTATATATGATTGAACACTTACAGCAGCCCAACTGTTTAGACATAGTATCCATACTTTTCCCATAAATGTGAACACCAAGGGTGTTCAAGTAGAAATTGACTACCAGGATTGACGCCTGAGCCTATCTAACTCCTTATTATAAGTTACATCTTTCCGTTACTTCCAACATCGATTTAGACTTACTTAGAGTAAACTGCTAAACAAAAGAAAAAGCCAAATTACCTAAAACATTACTTGCTTTTTACTGGTAATATCAATGGTTCTTGGACTGGAAGTAAATGACAGAGGAAGAGAAACAAAATACACGGTATCATACAATGTCTGTGTAGTCTCTAGGTAAAGATCCCTTTGTTGTGTTTGGGGATATAATTGCTTATGGACACACACAAAGTACACATACATCAATCTCACTTATGGTAACAGAGGTCATTAGGAATACATGACTTTTTAAGAAAAATTCATGAATGTCATTGTGTATAGTAATTGTTTACAGCTGAGGGCCAAATGTTTAATTGTTCCCATGTGTAATAAAATAATTTGATTGTAAATACCCAGGGGAAATTGGGCTAGTGTGGGAACTTCTGATATATGACTCTGAAAAAGGGGCAGTGTCTCAGAGACCTAAAGCTATTTATAACAAGCAAGCATTAAAATGAGTGTGTAAATCAAAAAGGTACTTTACCGCATAAAAATGACAGATTATTATCTAGGATTACAAGTTTGCATTATTTCTTTAGAATTGTTAATCAGGACTAGAGGTTGTTGTAGGAAGTTAAATAAAGCGAGAAGAATAATTGCTGAGGAAGTAGGGTCTCAATTATTATCTCTTGTAAGTAAATAAGAGTTTTCTTAGAAGCAAAACCTGTAGACAATTTATACCCTCCACTAATGTCTTATTGAAGTTGTGGTGGTTGCTAGAATTTGGTTGCATAATTTATAACCGGCAGCATTTAATCAGGAGCATAAGGATATATGCAGGTGGAAGGCACTGTATTTAATGTTTATGTGACACTGTCCTGTTCCCTTTACTGCATTCCTGCCATATGGACCCTCCACATTGAAGGCTTTATCATAAATCCATTAAAAATGCACAATTGGAGAGTTTCCTCTTCATAAACCTGATTTATAACCACCTATCAGAAGAAAACAGTTGGCAGAAATCACATGTCAGTGTTGGCATGTGAAAATTGGAAACACCAATTTCTAAGTCTTGGGTATTTTGTCAACTTTTTATTCAAAATATAAAACACTCTAAAAATCAGGCTTTGTCAAAGTGATTGGTAAGCACAGAAATTCAGCAGAAGGAGGATGACAAATGAGAAGGAAAAGGAAAAAGTGAGGTTTAGGTTG